CTCAATTGGAACACTTCATCACGATCACCATTCCTCATAGTCATTTAGAATTGTAGGGACACTACAATTATTGCATCCAATTATTGTAATGGGTGTGTCTAGGGTAAAATAACCTGACAGTCTAACCCCTCACGGGACTGGTTTTGAATTGACGGTTGTCCTTCCCATAGACTGGACGCCCTACCAAACTAAAGATACCACTCTGTTCTATATTATTATATTATTTGTTTTCTCAGCGTTTTTTCTCTTCCAAGATTGTTTGCCCTATCAAGGCTAAAGTAACGAGTCTCTTCTATAGGTTATGATATCACGCGATTTGTAGCGCTTATAATATAAGTAACGCTTCGGCTAATTGCGTGTCACCTGTGTTAATTTGTCTGAATTAATTAGGCTTCTCTTTTTTATCTCTGTCCTTGAGCTCTTTATTCATAGTTATGGACTAGTTCATATAGTGACCATAAGTGTACTGTTTATTCCGCAACAAATCCCCCTTTTGAGATTAGTACTATATATAAATATTTTATTTTTTATTAATATTAGCATCTCCCTCTCCTCTTTCTGTAGAATTCGCTAACGTACTTGATATTGTAGCGTTTCCGTCTTGCATCCACTTCTAATTATTCAGTAAGCTTTCTTTTTCTGGAACTCGACTTTGGATGTTCCACGACTTGTTGTGGTGCTGGCACATCGAAAACATCATCTAGCATTTTTATCAGTTCTTCCAATGTTTCAGTTCTTTCATCAGTGAACTTTTCTTTCGGCTGATTATGATGACTTTTAGGTTCAAATCTTTTTCCTTTTACATGTAAACCAACTTCCCGATTCTTGATGACATTATGCCGTCTTCGGACGTTTCTTTGTCATCCATATATGCTCCAAAGAACACTTTGTCTCCGGCATTCAATCATTTGATGTCGTTTTTGCTATCCGTTCGTGTTTTTAAATTTTTAAAGTTTTCCATCACCCGAAACATTGAATGCTTCCAGGTTTTCCAGGTGGCTTTCTTTAAAGCGCTGAATCTGTGGTCTTGAAATCTTCGACCCAAAGAAATATCAATTTTCTATCCGGAGCAGTATCATTCAGACGTAAAATGAAATGTTTCAAGAATAAACGCACGGTGATGGCAATTGATAGCATCTGAAAAAAATGGTAAGACATTAGCTAGATGATGACAGCATTGCCACTTGACTAAGTTCAATAGCACAAAAGAGGTGATAGTTTAAAATATGGGAGGTATTTCAGTCGCACCCTTTATAAACATAAACTGGTTCTAGCGTCATTGATATTCTCACATGTTTACTAGAATAAAATTCGGATTTTATTATTTACTTTTAAAAAGTCAATTAAAATTTCAATAAATAAATAAATATAAAGTAAAATACTTAAAGCAAAATATAAAAATAACAACAATATATATATATATATATATATATATATATATATATATATATATATATAGATAGATGAATAGATAGATAGATAGATATATATATTGTCTATATTTAGGCAGCAATTTTTCAATAATGCATGTTTCATTATATAATATAGACAAGTTTTTGTCGATTTATTTTAAGTTCCTTTCATATTGTCTGATAAGCTTAATAACATTATCATTGGATTTAAACATGTATCAATATGGTGATTTCCTTTGGTCTATCAATGTTATTAAGCTATTTAGACAATATGAAAGAAACTTACTTAAAGTAAATAGACAAAACTTCTCTATAATATTTAATGAAATGCATATATATATATATATATATATATATATATATATATATATATATATATACAATTGAAATATATATATTTACACCTTTACAATTGAAATTAAGATACCTTTAGTAATGACTATTTTCACCTACGAATTTTAATTTTAAAATTTGCAGGATTTTTCAGACTGTTTAATCCCACTACAAAGTAATACCATAAACAGTTTGAAAAATTCCGCTAATTTTAAAATCATAAAATCAAAAATAGGTATCAATTATGAAATTTCACACACACACACACAAATATATATATATATATATATATATATACACATGTGAGTGCGTGTGTGTGTGTGCAGCGTCTTCATGTGTGAACATAGGCTAACCAATTTACAGAAACTTCGGAAAGCCATGCTCATCATGGTTTCTTCAGTCTCTGACTCTGGTTTATATCCTCCCTACACACACATATATATATATATATATATATATATATATATATATATATATAGAGTGCGTGTGAGTGAGAGAGCAGTGAAAGAGAGAAAGAAATGAACAAATTTATGAAACAGAAAGGGTGAAACGTGTTATTATTATTATTATTATTATTATTATTATATATATATATATATATATATTCTTTACAATTGGAACTAAGATTTTTAGTTAATTATTTTCACCTATTTTTAATTTCAAATTCTTTTTTCAGCTCATTTATTACATCAGTTTGAAAATTCTGAAAATTTATATCCTTAATTCAATTTTCATACAGTTACAAAATTTAGCTTTTTGTGATCATATTATATATATATATATATATATATATATATATATATATATATATATATATATATATATATATATATATATATATATATATTATTAATAGAATAAGAAACTATACACGTTCGAAAAACTTCGGTGTCTTGATTTGCAAGTAATCAAAACAATACCAATAAAAAAAAAGCAAAAACATTTACGTTAATGAAAATAATCGCCTAGTATGCAAATCAAAGCCAAAGAAAAAAAAAACCAATACGAGTAAGCAAAATAACTAAATAAAGTGCTCAATACAATGAGTAGAGCAGATCTATTTAAATTTAGAGAGCCAGACATATATATATATATATATATATATATATATATATATATATAGAGAGAGAGAGAGAGAGAGAGAGATAGATAGATATAGTTATGTTATTTGTGTATATTTAGGCAGCAATTTTCATTATTGCATGTTTCATTAAATAATATAGACAAGTTTTGTCTATTTATTTTAAATAAAGTTCCTTTCATATTGTCTGATAATTGCCATTGGTTTATATGGTGATTTCCTTTCGTCTTTCAATGATAATGTTATTAAACATGAGACAATATGAAAGAACTTAAAATAAATGAACAAAACTTATCTATAATATTTAATGAAACATAAATAATATATATATATATATATATATATATATATATATATATATATATATATATATATATTTCAAACAAAATCGTCTCTTATTGGGTGAAGAATTATTTTCAACTTACACTCCTTTCCCAGAGACGAAACACCGCAAACCTCTCGCTGTCTAACGTTATATACCTCCCATATAATGCTAAGACATTAGCTAAATGAAGACAGCATTGATACCTGCCTACGTTCTCTCGGACGAAAGAGGTGACAGTTTCAATCAGTTACGGGAAACCTTTTACAACCAGTGTGCCGCATAGTGTATGATTCATCATAATGTGGGCTGCACTACTAAAAACTTCAAGGTAATTTTTCGTTTAAGGTCCCTCAGTAATTTTTATTTTCCAAACACGGTCAGCACGTTGTGGCCGTGTTCATAGTTGATATTGTCGAGTGTTGGCTTTCTCCTTTTTGTTGTTAGTGCTTCCATTACTTTGGGTCTGTTCTTACATGTGGATAAAGCTATTATCCTTGTACCTTCCAACAAGTATGTTTGCGGATGGATTTTAGTAGATTTTTTGTGTGTTTAAATGAATCTTAACAGAGCTTTGGTCAGAGAAGAGTAACGTGAGTTTTCTTGGTAGACGCGTGGTGGTACGTTAGGCAATTTTACACACTCTATCGGTAGATACATACCACATAATGGTAAGACATTAGCTAAATGAAGTCAACATATCGACTCTCTTTCGTTTTCTACGACAACACAGGTGACAGTTTAAAACGGGGACGGCCACCTTATCTGACTAGTGGGCCGCGTGAGATATGACTCATCATAAGGCGGGAGCAATAGGAAAGCATATTCAAGGTAATTTTTTTTTCTTTAAGGTGTCTCAAAATTTTAATTAGAACCTCACACGTGCTAATACCTTTGCGAAAGGTATGAATCCTCTTCTTCTCCCTCCAGCTATGGGTAAATAGTCCGAATTCTATAACCTTAGATGACAACTGGTGTACCGCAGAAAGAAATAGCAACCTACTACGAGAAAAAAAATCTGCCTCGTCAGTCATGTATCGAAAGATAAAAGATCACTTAAACTTGTATCACGCGTGGTACATAACTAACTGAATGTGGTTCTACAGAAGGATGTTGAGGATACCATAGGCGGAACATGCGAGCAACGACGAGGTTTTGGAGAGAATGGAAACAAAAAGGAGACTTATACTTAACATCAGAAAGAGCCAGTTGAAATTTCTGAGGGCATGTAATGAAGAAGGAAGGCTTGGAAAATCTGTTACTCACAGGACAGATTGAGAGGAATGAGGGATAGATGAAAGCTGCGCGTGATATACTTGATGGGTTTGAGTAATGACAGAACAGGGTTTGGGAGTAATAACAAAAAACATAAAAACCTGTTAAAAGCTATAAGAGACAGAAAATGTGGAGGGTCATGATCGACTACGTTCTGAATGAACACACACATAAAAGAAGAAAAACAATATTCTTATTTAATCTTTCAACCGGCATGGCTTAAACGTTTACTGCCAAAAGTGCTCCAGCTGTTTTTTTTTTCCTATATTGTCACAAGAAAGGCACACAGCAATTCGTCAGCTCATCCTATACGCTCAACATTTTAGTTACGCCATTAATTGGAAATAATTAAGTCCACTTGTCTACTCTCATTCAACATGGTCGACCAACTCAGTGTCGGGCATCGACTTCCGGTCTAAATCTTTCGCCTGTTTACGCGACTTCCGGGCGCTTTTTCAACCATCAAACTTGGCGTCCGGTGGAAATCTTCGTTACCTTCATGTCCGCTACAGCTTTGTTGAGTGTGATGAGGATTCGTACCTAGAATAAGATTAAAAATCTCTAGTTTTAACCGCAG